AAGTCATCAGTTCAACATTAACAGCTGAACTTTTGATGGTGACTAGAAATTTATCAGTTGAAAGCTTTCAAGATCATATTTTTAGATCTTCAAAAGTTGTGGGAATTCCTAAAAATGAGCAAAACAGTTCAACTTCAGTGTCATAAAAATTGATAAAAAACCGATTGTAAAAGTTCAGTCGAACCCGATTGGCGACCGGCAAACCGTCGATCTGGTTTTGACTGTGACTATAAGATTATTGCAAAGTCTAATGGTCGCAATCGTATAAAATCTTATGTGGTCTTATCAAATCATAATGCGAGATCTCAATTTTTTAATTAGTTTTTATAACGATAGCTTTGTGCGTTTAAACAAATGTATAGACGATTAGATGCATTCTAATTGCAACGCTACGCCCTTTAGAATTGAAAACACATCTTCTATGTCGTGTTACTTATCTATTAAAATATTATGTCACACATAATTCCATCAACTTAATTGAATAGAAGTACGCTTTTTAAGATCATATTAATTATTAATTCGATGTCAGTAACTTCTTTTTGTTTTCCTTTTAAATTATTCATTTCTCTATTTTAGATTATTATATCGATTCGGTTAAAGAGAAATTAACTTTTTCTTGTGGTTTGAATCATTGACATCTTTATTTCAGATAATATTTATCCTTGATTCAATAGAAGTAACCTTTATGAATTTAAATTATTTAGTTTTCATTTAAGTTTATTTTATCAATTGAAGTCACTAGAAGTAGTTTTTTTTTTCATTCTTTTTTGTTTATGTTTTCCTTTTGAGTTTTTGTAATTTTTCTCAATGAATATGCATATATATTATTTAAGATAAAAAGGCTTTCTCTAGAAAATAAGCCGAAAAATAGAACAAAATCAAGTGTACGACATTGTGAGAAACCCTAGAAAATCATAAATACATCATGCATCATCTAACATTAAGATCATAGAAGAATCGTATACTACGATTTTATCAGAAACAGTAGTTTGAAGATCGGCATATGAAATCCTACAAGTTCATATATGGTTCTCATACGATCCTGAAAGACCATACACTGAGTTTCTATATGATCTGGTAAGAATTAAACAAAATCTTATAATTAGACTGTTTAACCTAGGTCACGCCTCATAAACAATTTCAATATTTATGTTCTCTTATCCTTGTTCGAAGGAGACTTTAATATATGACAGAATAATTTCCATACTATGAAACCATATATTTGAATTGTTCTTTTTATTTTAAGACAGTGATAATGCATCTTAACAGAGAAAAAGCGTACTTTACTATTTTCTGATACTTCTTTGTACTTCTGCACTTTTCATTTGACTTAGAATCTATTGCTAAGGTATTAACTTTTAATATTTATGATAAACAATACTTCATGCATGTAAATTATATAAAATCATACAGATCGATGATAACAAAAAGAATACAATAAATAATAAAATGATAGAAATAGAAATGCATCACATCTCTTTAAAGAGAATAATTTAACCGTTTTTCTGAGAATCAACTGAGCTAGATGAATCTCTAACCAATAGTATAATAACAAGTAAAAAAGGAAGAACAGCGTTCATAACAAACTTCAAGAAAAATATATTTATAGAAATATATAACAGCTTATTTCACAAAAGAACAAATAGAAAAACAAAGATGAATAGAGGTCTAAAAGAAAAGAAAAAAAAATATATATTTTAAGTACAATTGTTTTTTTGTTTTGCATAAGCTGATGACAATTGTGATAAACTTAGCCTTGAAGAATAACAAGAGAAAATATAAGAAAATGAAGATAGTAATATCGATAATAAAATTTAGTAATGATGAAGCGGTAAATAATAAAAATGTGAATATGACAAAATAAATTTTACTATTACAAGAATTTTCAATGAAACTAAATTATGTAAACGAGATTTTTGTTTTATAGCGAAAATTCATGATAAGAAAATATATCGTAGGTTAGATTAAAGTTTAGTTCAGAATAAAATCTTATGGTCTTAACTAAATAGTTCAGTTTGAAAGTTTCATAGTTGAGACCATAATTATTATAAAGTGAACTAGAAAGATTTCAAATTCAACTAGTTCCAATTAAAATATTTTAATCGGCATTGAATTTCTATCTTTCCTCCAACGTATATTAAATACATAAATAATTGACTTATTAATTGTTAATTGATAGTAACAGGCATTTGTAAAATGAAGACTTTTTAATTATTCATTCAAATCGCAAAGATCAGTAATAATTTCGTAATTGATTGTTTAGATAGGATTTTTCTTTACCAACGAAATGCAGAAGAACTTCTCTAAGTACACATTCATGTACATCATCGTACTTCCTAAGTAAAAAAAAATTCGTTTAATGGATTACACTAATACATATAACAATAGCTCAAAAACAAGACTGATATTATACTTTTCAAACGTGATCATTGTATTTCATCCAGTCACCTAAAATTTGATATTTTCCAGTTGCTTTTCAAATCTTCAACCATAGATCAATGAAACATGTACATATTCGAGTTATTGAATTTGATATCATTTTATTTGCCATCTTTCTAAGATATCAAGGTAGTGATACGAAAATTGGAACTAGACCGGCGGTTTATCGATCACCAATCTGGTCCGCTTGAACTTTCACAGCCGGCTAGTTTAAGTCAGTTTTTTTATCGATTTTCAAGGCTTGAAAATCTTGAACTGACAAATTTCTAGTCATCATCAAAATTTCAGCTCTAAATATTGAGCTCACAGATTCTCGTCGTACTATAAGAGCCTCGACTTATACTGACGCACGATTAACCGAGAGTTTTTCTGCGAACATGGTCACAGTCACATTCATGACATGACTGTGACTATTTTGCAGATATCTAGAAGAAACTTATTTAGATAAAATAAGGAAGAAACAAAATAGTATTGTTAAAAATGTATATACATAAACATATTCGTACGAAAACTTAGAAATATGTTTACAATATCTTCTTTATGAACTAATCATTAAATTTCAAACCTGAGTAAGATAATATCTTAGCAATAAATGTTGAAAAGAGATCAAGTCATTTTTTCTTTGTAGAATTGAATTTCTAACGGAACACTCCATAAATTCAAAAGCATTTTTTTTTCTATCAGCAAGACTATTTCCTTAAAAAAAATTATATAGAAAAAAAAAAAAGTATTTTAAACTACATCCGTTTTTCACACTGTTATACTGTATAATCTTTTCAGGAAACATTCACTATGTAATTTAATCGAGGGCGAATAAGTCCAAGCAAAAACAATTTCATTCATTTATGTTCTGAAGTAGTCAAATGAGACAATGCAGAAAAAATTAAGTTGACTGCTTATTAATAATTTATATATATATATATATATAAATTTCATTTTAAAATTATTTTCTTGGATGAATTAACATCAACTTTATTTCTTATAACAACCATCGAATTTATTCTTTTTATACTTTTCTTGTTAGTGTAAGTCAATTTTATTCTAAAATTTATTATGTTTCATGATTAAATGAATGCTCAAAATAACTTTAAAAACATCTTGAGAACGACTTATAAACCAACTAATTTATGACATTGATTAGCAACTACAATACCATTCATTTTGTCTATTGACTCTTTAGAAATATATAATTGAATTAACTTTATTCCTGCTAAGACAGCTTATCCAACAGTTCAACATCCACCCATTCTATTATGTTGAACGAACTATAAATAAACATTTTCCATTTTGACCTTTTTAAACTTTGAAACCATTTGACTTAATAAAAGAAATGAGTATTGACGACATAAATGACTCTACAATAATAAATAATTTGTCAAACTACAAATAGTATGCTTCATGTAATTATATTGTCCTAGATCATTGATTCGATGGATTTAATAATAGACTATCGCATGAATTCCATAGCTTACATACAGAAATGAATATTGAATCTATTCGTCTTGCAGAAAAAGTAACGCCCTCTATTTTGGATATCAATAGGATTAGTTTATTGCTTGACCATTGCATCGTTTCAATAGTTTTTATTTGTCTATTTTACAGACCAGAGAGAATCAGTCGGTCGAACAGTTATTGATTACTTTCGTTTGATTAATGATCATATATTGATTGGGTGAATAGATGAATAGCATACTCATGCATTCAAATGCATGATGAATTACTAACTGATCGAAGACTATATTTCCGCATTCTTTTTTTCTTTTTCTTACTATAGTAAAGAAATACGATTTTAGTTACTGTTGTTATTCTTTTTTTTTTTATTGTGCTTTTTCTTTTTTCATTCTTAGATAAATTAATATTTAATACCATATAATTGCTTCATATCGTGAAAGTAAAAGATTAAAAATTTTTTATGCACTTTTATTTTTAAAAAAAATTACAATTAATTTATAAGTTAGATGACTAACTAATAAAATTAGTAATGATAAATTGTAAAATATAACAAGAATAAAAAGAAAAGAATATAAATAGACTGATTTTTTTTGGCGTAGGAGTGTCAGAACGACGAAGTCTAACTATGCTTGTATGTGTGTTACATGCGTCATCACAACATTACAGGATCGGTTGGTAGGTTGATTACTTGCACTCGACGGAGAAGGGGATAAGAAATGTGTAACAATTGTTCGTGCCTTTTTTTTTTCTTTTTCTCTTTTCTTACAATATTCTTCGTCTTTCATGTGTTTTCGTCCGACATATTGCGGTACCATGGAAAAATGTATGAATAAAACCAATGAAAGATCTATTAATGCTCAATAACATAAATTATTCTAGAAAATTAAAAAGAAAAAAATAATAGCGTAATATTTTCGGTTGTTTTTCTTTTGTATGTGTCGATATAAAAATATATTTTTTACGTCGCATATGTCATTACATTCATTTATGCATGTCTTTCATCAAGTTAATAAATATTTTATCACTTTGAGATAAATGTGAAATGTCAAATTTAACCTTGATATATTTTCAGATCATTTCAAATGTTTTATATTTTTTTATAAACGTTGATGACTAAACAAGACGATCCATTGTCGACTGGTCCATTGACACTTAAATTTACTGGTGTTGATGAAGAAACAACATCCGATGATGAAGAAGAAGAAGAAGAAGAAGAAAAAGAAGAAATTGAAGAAAAAAATGTAATTCCAATACATACACCAGATTCTGCTCTATGTACACGTAATGGAAATACGCATAACCTTACTATTAATAATTGTTATGGTAATAAAAAAAAAATTGTATTTTAATTTTTTCTTTTTATTTAAATAAATTGTTTTTTTTTTCTTATTTTTAAGAAAATAATTATGGAAGTCATCGCCGTAATCAATCAACATCAATTCCATATAAAATATATTTTGAACATCGTGAACGTTGTTGGACATTTATACCGAATACAGATGTAATTGTTGTTAATGTTGCTGTTAGTCGTGAACATCATTTTCGTCTTAATCCATTTTTGTAAGTAATCTCGGTTTTATTTTAGTATCTTCTTTTTTTGTTCATAAAGCTGTCAAAGACAGCCCAATACAAATCAGCAGAATTGGCTTGAACGTTTAAATACCAGGTAGTCACAACACGAAAACAAATAATTGGAAGAATACGCTGACCATATAAAATGCTTTCTAAAATGACTTATTTCGCTGATTCAATTTTTGTTTTTTTTTTATCAAGAATTTTTTTTTTCTATATAATTTTTGTTCTTAAGATATACAATAACACTAAGACATGGTGAATTTAATTGGACAATAACAAAAAAATATAAAGATTTAGTTATATTTTTTGAACGTATGAATGTTTTTCAAAAAACTGCTGCTTTACCATTTCCGACCACATCGTATGTTAAATAAATAATTGTTATTGAACATATATATTTTTGTAAAAATTTTATATTGTTAGACATCGTGAAATTCGTCGTCAGATGTCACATTCACATGCTATACAAGGTCTTACACTTAAACCTGATGTGCTTGTTGATGATAATGATATTAATGATCGAGAAGTACATAAAGAATTTTGTTGTTTTTTTGTTTTTTCTATTAATTTTGTTTTTTTCATTTTAGAAACTTGTAGCTGACAAATTATATTCCATTGTAAATCATCCAGTTCTTTCACTGCATAATGAATGTGTAAGTTTTTTGTAAATTTCAAAAACAAATTTTTTTAACTCTTTTTTTTTACAGATAAAATTTGTTGAATCATCTCCATTATCATTTATACGTGAATTAGGTCGTAAATATAAAGAAGGTATTGTAAAAAAAAATTCAGGTGGTTATAGACAAGGTTGTTGTGGTAGTATTAGTGCACGTATAAAATGGCTTAAACGTTGGTTAATAACAAAAGATTCATGGATTGCTTATTTAAATCCTAAAACAGGACATGTACGTGCTGTTATGCTTGTTGATAAATTTTTTCATGTACGAACTGGTCGTGTTCATACTGGTTCAGTTAGAAAATTATATATTTCTAATTTAGCACGGTAAATGTTTTCTTTTTTTTATTTTGAAGAAAATTTTTATTTTCGCTTTTGTTTTTTTTTTGTAAAGTCGACTTTATTTAAATTGTCCAACTGAACGTAAAGCAATTGAATATTTTGATGATATAAATCGAATGTTAAAAACAACTGGTCGAGATTTTCATATTGAAAAACGATTTAATTCATTTGCACCTATAAGAGTAAATACAAAATGTCAATGGCTTGTTGATGGTTCAGATTATATGGAAGCTGTTGCTTATGCAATTAAATCTGCTACAGAAGAAATTTATATAACTGATTGGTTTCTTAGTCCAGAAATTTATCTTAAACGTCCAGCTTTATCTGATGAATGGCGTTTTGATAAAATGTTAGAAAAAAAAGCGGTAAAAAAATAAACAACAAGAACAATAAAATGTTCTGTTTTTAATTAATCAATAAATTTAATTTATTGTAGAATGAAGGTATACGAATATTTGTTTTATTATATAAAGAAGTTGAATTAGCTATTGGAATAAATAGCTCATATTCAAAAAGAAAATTACTTCAAGCACATCCAGAAAATGTTAAAGTTCTTCGTTATCCTGATCATACAGGACAAAATGCTGTTTTATTTTGGGGACATCATGAAAAATTAGTTATTATTGATCAAAGTATTGCATTATTTGGAGGTTTCGATTTATGTTATGGTCGATGGGATAATTATCATCATTTGTAAGATATATATATATTGAATTTTTCCATCCATATGCTTTGTTTTTCTATTATTTAGATTAACTGATTTTGGAAGTGCATTACCAATGAAACATCATGCAACTCAAAATGTACCAAGGACACATAGTGTTCCATTAGTAAGAGAATTTTCTTTTTATATATTGATATCGAAAAATAAATTTACATATAAAAGCATGATAAAGTTCAGTGTTGCAATAAGAAGAAGAATATTCATTCGATTTCAGCTACCAGGCCATATGAAATATTGCCTAGTGGCGGCAGATTCAATAGTCGGGTAGTTTCCCGACAAGTATGAATAGCTTTAGCTTTGAAGAGAAAGCCGACATGGTGCAGAAGTTTTACGCTCAACTGCTTGAGCTCTCTAATCATACTAACTAAGATAGTCTCAAAAAAAAAATCTCACTACCAGGTAAAAAGTACCTGAATTTTATTTCTTTAATCCCACAGCTTGACTACAAATAGAGTCTATTAAACTCTAATCGTAAAGACTTGATCGATCTTCATAATGGAGCAGCTAGAAGATCAAGATAGATTTTTTTTTCTGGAGACGAGAATGTCTCAACATAGAAAATAAATTCTATTCGACAGCTCAATACTATCCTTGGGGCTACGTTAGTCATAACAGCAGGTGTATATCACAACGTAGTCAGCATACTATCGGACAAGTGATCCGAGACGAATAGCCATTCTATGACTTGTCCAGAGTCATTCCATGACTGACGGTACTAAGATTTGCATACAGTATCTTGCGGATACGTGTTGAACAACGCAGCTACTCAGTTACGGTAACTTCCGATAGGACATCTTTTCCAATCAATTTTTGAAAATATTGATTCTAGCTCTATTGAAAAGGAAAAAAGTTTCGTAGATCTTTAATTCTATCAGCATATCATAAATATCTATAAATTCTTTTCTTCATAAAAATCATGTAGATCAATCAAATGATTCAATCACCAGTATCGATTGATGCACTTGACCTTGATGGTGCGACATGTAATCGTTTTATAAATGCAAATGATCATATTGAACAAACAACTGATCGAACTCCATCTCCATCATCACGTCCAATAACTACTACTACTGATGCATTTTTTCCATCAAAAATTGCTCAATTTCGTAGTGAATATCATCTTAAAGATCATCTTAAAGAACCACATTCATTTGGTTCAATTTCATATAATATAAATGATAATTCTGTTTCATTATCATCAAATCGTTCAATGTCAAAAACACTTAATAATGATCGAACATCTGATACAATTGATCGAATAATAAATCCAACACGACGTTTTTCATCGTCAGATATTGATCAACAATCTGTTCATCTTTTGGATACACTACAACATAGACAATTAATTGAACAACAAAAAAAACGTCGTATTTATCATTTTAATCATACACTTTTTTCAAATATATATAAACGTACACATCGTTTATCATCAGCTGATTCTCATATGTATTTAAGTTCGATACAAAATCGTGAACGTCATACACGTCGTCGACATCAAAGTGTTAGAGATTCAGATATGACTGATCAACATACAACATCAGATAGTGTTTATAGTCGAGCATTAGAAAAATATATTCTTAATCACGAAGCAGAAGAACAAGAAGAAGAAAATAACGAAGGACAACAACATCGAAGATATCGAACATTACTTTCTCTATCTGATGGAGGAACTCGACGAATATCAACTGCTGCATCATTACGTCATAGACTTTCTTCACATGGTAATACATCTGATTTACAAGTTGAAAATAAACAACAACAATTAAAAATGACAAAACTAAATGCTGAATCAAATAATCGTGGAAAAAAACTTTCATTTCTTTTACCACGTCGAAGAGCAAGTTATTATCCAGATGATACATCAAATGTTTTATCGGATGAGCAAAAAAAGAAACGAGATGTTATATGGCCACTTAAACGATCTTACTCATTTGATACACCTTTTCATCGTGAAACAATTGACGCTTTAAATAAAGGTATGTTTAAAAGTTAAATTAAAAAGAAAAAAAAAAGAAGAAAAGAAAAGTTCAATATTCGTCTATTGTAAAACTAATTCCTTTATAGAACATAACTATTCTCCAACCGAGACTTGTAAGTAAAAAAATATTCGACTTGTCTGTTGTCCCTTGTACATACAATTATGTCAGCTATTGTGTTTTTTTTTGATTTCAATATTATTTATTGTAAATGATAAAATATCATTATTTCATTAAGTTGTGCATGCTATTGTTTCACATGTTGTTTTTAATCAGCGTTTTCTATATAAATATTTATATATATATATATATACACTTTATATCATTTTAGACAGTGGATCACGATGGGAAAGACTTAAACTTGGTATTCAATCAAAAATAAATCGTTTTACAAAATCAACTGAAGATGTTTCAACATTAACACTTACATCAATGCCTAGAAGAAATTCAACTGAAACACAACCAATATCAACATCACATCGTCATATTGGTATTAATGTTGGTCCAACACTTGATCGTATACGTTTACGTGATAAAATTCGTCGTGTAAAATTAAATATAAAAACAACTTGGAAACAACGTTCAGATTTAAATGAATCTGATCAATCTGATATTGATAATAGTGATTATTATCGTGATTCATTACATGATGATATGAGTTCATTTATTGGTTCATCAAGAAGATCGACAACAAATCAACTTGGTTTACAAGGTTCATCAAAATTATGGTTTGGTAAAGATTATGCAAATTTTTTACTTCGTGATTTTCGTAATCTTGATCAACCATTTCAAGATCAAATTGATCGAAATACAACACCACGTATGCCATGGCATGATGTTGGAGCTCTTGTATATGGTGCTTGTGCACGAGATTTAGCAAGACATTTTATTGAACGATGGAATTTTGTAAAACTACAAAAGGCTAAAGATAATGAACGTTATCCATTTTTATTACCAAAATCTTATGGTAGTTATACACCATGTCCTAAACTTCTTTCGAATACATTTAATTGTTCAACACAAGTATGAAACAAAAAAAAAATTTACTTTTTTTTTTGTAAGTATTAATTTTTATTTTAAAAGGGATTACGAAGTGTTGGTCCATGGTCAACAGGTAGAAATGATACAGAAGAATCTATACATAATGCTTTTATTGATATAATAACAAAAGCTAAATATTATATTTATATTGAAAATCAATTTTTTGTTTCATTAATTGATGATTCAACTGTACGTAATGGTATAGCTGATGCTTTATTTAAACGAATATTACGTGCACATCAGTAAATAAAATGTGTTTTTTTTTTTCGCAAATAATTCTTTTTTATTTCTATCTTTAGAGAAAAAGAAACATTTCGTGTTTATATTGTAATGCCATTAATACCCGGTTTTGAAGGACAATATGGTACATCGAAAGCTACAGCATTACAAGCTATAACACATTGGAATTATCGATCAATATCTCAAGGTCAACAATCATTATTAGCTCGTTTAGCAAAAGAAGTTGGTGATCCACATCGTTATATATGTTTTTTTGGTTTACGTACATGGTCTGAAATGAATGGACGTCTTGTATCAGAAATTGTTTATGTACATAGTAAATTTGCCATAGTTGATGATAATCGTGTATTAATTGGATCAGCAAATATAAATGATAGAAGTTTAATTGGTGATAGAGATTCTGAAGTATCAGTTTTATTTGAAGATACAGAATTTGTACGTGGAATGATGAATGGACAAAATGTTCAAGTTGGAAAATTTGCAAGTGGTTTACGTAAAAGATTATTTCGAGAACATTTAGGAGATTTTGATGGAACACAAATAAATTATCAAGATCCAATATCAGATTCATTCTATAAAGATACTTGGTTATCAACAGCAGCAAGAAATACAACAATGTTTGAAAAGGTATTTCTTATTTTATTAAATTTTTATGAAACACACTCGAAAAAGTAGTGTTAAAGTATACGGAGTAAAAATTTAGACGTACAGACCGTGAAAGACAATCTGGGATAGAGCTCATCGGGTTCGAATCAGAAAACTTTGGATCCGATGGGTTCTACCCAAGGAACCTATCACGGACTATGACAGATACCTTGAGAATGTGACAGTTGTTATTGATATATATATATACATATATCAATAACGTCTTGTTCTAATATATAAACTACTTATTGCATTTCTAAAGAGGATAATGATGACATGCCTTTCAAAATTGATAGATTAAAGTAATCTTTATATGATTAGCAAAGAGTAGCTACATTGTGCTTCACATTTTAATATCGCTGGCATTGTGCTAACAGCTTCTTTTATTTTATTCTTTTAGATATTTAATTGTATTCCAACTGATTCCGCATTTACATTTTCTCAATTACGTGAAATTCAAGCAGCTTCAAAACTTTGTGAAACTAATCCTGAAGAAGCACGACGTTTACTTCAATCGATACGTGGTTATTTAGTATTAATACCACATAAATTTCTTTCAAAAGAATATCTTGGACCACGATTACCAGCTAAAGAAATTTTAGCACCATCATGGTTTTGGACATAAATATGTTCAAAAGAAATATTTTTATTTTTATTATTTAGTCATTGGGCAATAATAGATTTTTTATTGATCTAACTGCAATATAAAGCAATGTTTTCTTTCTTTCTTTTTTTAAATACAGTATGTTTTGAACAGACATAGAAGAAATAAAACAATAAATTAAGCAAGAGTTGAGTTCCGTCCATAGTTATTATTTTTTTTTCGCCATTCTTTATTATTAATTAGATAACGGATCAATGAAACTCATAGAAAAAAAAAATATATATAAAATATTCTTTATTTGATAAATGTCTTTTCCTTTTGCTTTTTTTTTATGTGATAATATTTTGTGCGATTTAGTATTTTGCATTTTGACATTGCTTTGTATAAAAATTTCATTTTACTACTTCTCTAGCAACAATCTCTGTAGGCTTTTATTGCTAAAAATTTATATAACATATGTTTCTTGATTCTTCCTTCGATATTATCGAATGATGGTGACTCTTGAAATGTTCTTCTTGTTTTTTTTTCTTGTGAATATTCAATTTTAGCTCTGTTTCTTTTTTTTTGTGTTATGTAATAAAGATAAATGGCGATAATAAAAGAACTAACATGGACAAAGAGGAACATAGATCGAAAATGTAACTTGTTTTTCTTTTTTTCTTTTTTGTTTTCCAGTATATAAAAATCGCCAATATTGACTAGTACAATTAATGGCATAATTGATCTTATTTCAGTTTATCTTGTGAATTTAAAATTATTTCAATAATTAAATATTTATCATATTTAAGTTATTCTAATTATAATGAACATATTTTAGTTGTTAGTGTACATTATTAGAGAAATTCTTTGTGATGAATATTAAATTGCAATTAGATGGAATTTCATAAATATATTATGAGAATTAAAAATTTTAATATTAAACACTATAACAAAGATAATCAGTCCTACTTGAAGAATTATTTTATTCATATATGTATTATTCAAGTGTCCAATAATATACATCAATCACATTGTTAATTATTATGATGAATGGGGCCATGACATACGTAATAGAAATGACTTTTTATTCAGTATTACCTCAGGTCGAACAAATACACTCGTAAGTCATCGTATTTGTCCGTACGTGATACGAAGACATACGATCATTTATGAAGTTCATATACGAGTTCTGTATTACTCAGTACTTCGCTGTTAACGATCGTATTTGTTCGTATTCGTCGATCTAGGCACCTATCATTGGACTTGTTGTTTTTGTTAAATCTAAATAAAAGAAAAAAATTTTACTTGATAAATTCATACATATGATTAGATCTGTGATTGAACTAATTCTAAATCAAGGAATATAATTTAATTTTTATAAGGAAAAAATTTAATATTGAAAAAAATCCTAAAAAAAAAACTATGGTTTATTTTATTTTGGTGATTGACATTTACCAATAGATTTGATGATGAAGTCAAACGACCAAACTCTTGATCGAGTTGAAGATCTAAACTAAAACCTAAGTTATTATTCTATACGATAGTCATGCATGACAATCATTTACATTGATAATAAATGTCAATCGTATTTCAACCAATATCATCGTAGGGATTAATCATATTCAATGATCATATTTTATTATTGACGATTGTTTACGATCGTGCATTTTCGACTTGGGAGTAGGCAAATTTTCTTTTGTCCTTATATTCAAGAATATATTTTTTTAACTTCACCCTAGATAATTCAAGTTTTCTATCATTAATCAAAGGCCAATAACAACAAAAAAAATTTCCCATGAGATATTTTATATGAATTTTTAATTTACTATTCAAGTTTTTTTTTTTGTTTTAAATTTAGTATCATTATTCGGTATTAGAGTACTTTTTTGATGATATTAGATAAAAAGAAAAAAACGATAAACGCATATGCTCTCCATTTAACACTTTTTTACATTAATATTATAATCTTATCTTTGTTTTTTCTTTATCACTAGTGAAATATTTATTATTTCAGATAGTTTTATCATCATGTACGTGTCGCTTATATTTTCGACGATTCTTGTTTTTTATATTCATGGTGGTTTAGCCATCAATTGTCCAAAATCACCAGCTAAATGGTGTGATAATAAAAATATTGCAAAAGCTTGTGGTGTATGTACTAAGGTTTAAAATGTTTATTTCTAAATCTTTTTTATTCTGATTTCAGGTAATTGAACAATGTAATAAATATGTTTGGAAAGTTCGTGATATGAATGATCGTGTCAATTTATCTATTTATTATGAAACACTTTGTCCAGATTGTCGACAATTTATAACAACACAAGTTTGGAATGCTTACCAATCAATTCTTAGTATTGTTAATATTAGTTTTGTTCCATATGGAAATGCACGTGAAATATATCGACCAGAAACGAAATTATATCAATTCTATTGTCAACATGGTGCTGATGAATGTTATGGAAATATGATTCATGTAAATATATCAAAGATACTATTTATTTATTTTCGCTTTTTTTTTTCTTCTTAGACTTGTGTTATATATTTATATCCAAATACGACAGATCATTTAGTAAGAAATTGTTTTTTTTTTAAACTAAGTCTATTGAATGGGTTTTTTTTTGTATTATTTAGCCATTTATTTATTGTACAGAATCAACAGAAGGTGATGTTGGAACAGTTGCTGAACAATGTGCAGAAAAGACGACAGTGGATTTTGATAAAGTTAGTGCTTGCGTTCAAAGTCGATTAGGTAATCAATTACAACATGTATATGCCGCACAAACAGATAATCTTAAACCACCACATCAATATGTACCTTGGGTAACGGTTAATGGTGAACATACTGAAGACATGGAACAAGAAGCTGAGAAAGATCTTATTGGACTTATATGCAAAACATATAAAGTAATTTAAAAATCAGACATATAAACAGATTGATTTTTAAAAAACAAATTTTATACTCTATCAATCGATTAATATTCTGACATATTAGTTAA